GCAGAAGAAACTCGTACATACACACATACGTACGCACCCACACACAACCGGCACGCACTTTTTAAAAATTCTTATTTCTTATTTGAAGTGTAGTCAATTTGCAATGTTAGTTTCAAGTGTACAGCAAATTAATTCAGCTATACATATATATACATATAGAGTCATATATATATATATATGTGCAGATTTTTTTATATTACAGCTCATTACAAGGAATTGAATACAGTTCCGTATGCTAGACAGTAGGCACTTGTTGTTTATCTATTTTATGTATAGTAATGTGTATCTATTAATCCCAAACGTCTAAGCTATCCCTGCCCCTCTTCCCCCACCCCCAGTAATCACAGTTTGTTTCTATGTCCGTGAATCCTTTTCTGGTTTGTAAACAAAATTTATATTTTGTTTTTAGATTCCACCTAGAAGTGATATCATATAGTATTTGTCTCCCTCAGTCGGACTTACTTCACTTAGTACAAACAGCCCTAGGTCCATCCACGTTGCCAGCACACCCTTTAATGACAGGACAAGTGCTTTGATGGTCCGGGGCAGAGTGGCAGTGACTGAGTGGAGACTTAGTGTGGCAGCAGAGGGCACGAGCTGCTGCCGTCACAGTGGCCAGCTCACACACGTGACACTGAGTCGAAGTGTAGAAGGCCAGATACAGGTACACAGACTCAGATCACCTAGGTGAATTAAAAACACGCAAACACTGTTCATTGTCCTGGAAACACATATTATTTGTAAATGTTAAAAAGCATTGTGTTCTGGAACGATACAAACAAATTCATGGTCTGGCCTTGGAGTGAGGTTGTCAAGAAGATTATACCTGTGCTCTAGTTTGTTTAATTAGAAAAAAAAAGCTGATAGGACAAAATGTTGTCAGTGGTCCCTTCTGAGCAGCGGGGACCCAGACATTTGTTCCGCCAACCTCTGCTACTCTGTGATGTCTAAGTTCCCCACAACAACGATTGTGGGACCATAGTTACTGAAAACACAGCTCCTCACTGGCTGTGCAGAGAGACACCTGGCGACGTCATCTCCCGCAGGAACCGAGGCTGGGGCCAGCTTGACTGTATCTTCCGCGCTTTACACCCGTGGGAAGCGTCCCCAGCATCATCGCATTGATCCCTTCCAGACAGCTCCTTAGCTTCCTCTCAGCCACACACCTTGACGTCTCGCCAGAGGCACGACCCACGTTGGTCTTTGTTAGGACCTAGCCTGGGAACTGCCCTCTGACACCCAGCTGGACCCCTATTTAGCACAAAATTTCTAAGATGTGTAAGATTCACCATTACCTTTTGGCCACCTTCCCAGCCTGGGAATCCAAAACCCCGGAGTTCTGTGCACAGATAAGTAGGTCTTTGGGATCCACAAACGTTGTCCAAGGCCTGTAATACGTTATAACAACCCTTATGTTAAAGCCCCTTTCTCTGAAGCCACCTTCCCTTGGGAATGAGATTTTGTCTAAGTCTATTTGCATCTATTCAAAATCAGAGGCAGCCCTGAAACCAGATTCTGTTTAAACATAGAAGGAAGAGCAGTGGCAGATTAAGCAAATGTTGGGGAACTTAAAAAAAAACAACAAAAACACTTCTATTTATCTTCCTGTGTTTCCTTTTTTCCAGATCCGCAGTTCCCCTCTCGTCGGCCGTCCTGCGTGGGTGCCGAGTTTCTCCCTGGATTTCATGGATCGGAAGGTTAGATGCCAGGCTTGACTTGGCTGTTTGCAGATTCGTGGTCTTTATGATTGTCGCTTTTTAACATTATGGGAATTATCTTTTCATTTGTGGCACTGCTACTGTTGTTACTGAACACAGTTTTGAACTCTGTAGGTATTTGGGAGAAATATAGAACATGAAATGGGTCAAAAATCAACATAGTGGAGAAAAGGATGCTGTGAATTCACTTGGAGGAAGAAAAGTCATAATTGGCCAGAGTGAAAGGAGCCCATTTTTAATTTGTTATATGGGAAACTGCTTGATAAAGAAGCAATAGTCCTCTCCAATCTCTCTGTCCTAAAATGCTTTAAAAAAAGAAGAAAAAAAAAGAAAAGAAAGGCAAAAGGATGAGATCACCCTTGGTTAGAGCAAGTCTGATAGGATGTGAGCACCTGTGCAGGGCAGAGCCTCTTCCCCTACAGCCCAGCCCGCCGGACCTCCCTCTGGTCCCCAGATGTTTGGAAATCTCAAGCTGCCTGTTGGGAGCACGAAGATGTCATTTGGAACCAAGTTTGTTTATATTATTATAACAACAGTTTCAGTTTGTCTCCGCCGTTAAGGTTGTATCAACACTTCCCTTTCTGTGTTTATTATTTTTAGCAGTTGAAAAGCTAAGCATGAAAAATGGCTCTCTGGCGGTCAGGGGACGTTCCGGCTGGGCCAGGGTCTGTGGCGTCTGGAGCAGCACTGGCGGGTGAGGGAGTCGGGCCTTCTGAATGCTGTCTTTGTGTCTCCCATCGCCAGGGCCTCTGGCCTATTGTCCGGCCACCTCGGCTGGGGTGGCGCTATCTGATTGTAACCAGTGCTAATATTACAGGGCTCAGTGCCCAGGCCCTCCCTGGGGGCCCCCAGTCTGGCTGCCTCTGTCTCCCAGCCCTCTCTCCAGGGGACCAGTCACAGCTCTCATATCAGAAACGCTATTTGTAATTTATAGAATGTTCCAGAGAAAAGGATCAGTAAGGATCAACTAGACCTGCAGGTCTCTAACTTTTTTTTTTTTTTACAAAGAACCTTTTACCCAAATGCAATCTTCCAATGAAACCTGATTTGTAAGACATGCAAAAGTACAGCTGTTCTGTTTGAAGGCACGAAGTTTGCCCCAAATTCCACTCTTCAGCCTTCTCTCCCTCCACGCCCCCAACCAAGGTGACTTCTCAGGTCCCCTCACCACCCCCTCTTCAGGTAACCTACTCCTAGACCTCCTCAGAATTCTTGCCACCAGTTTTACAGGGCAAGCCCCTCAGTTTACGGATAAGGAAACTAAGAGGTGATTTTATAGATGCTTAAAACATGAGACATTAGACACTAAAAAAGTACACTGGATTCATTTTTTACATAGTTTTAGAGAAGGCAGGACTAATCTCGGGCGATAACAATTAAAAGAGTGGTTACTTCATGGAGAGAAGGGGTTGACGGGGAATGGGCTCAGGAGAATTTTCTGGGGTGATGGAAATACTTACCTCAACAGAAGTGTGGGCTGCCTGGCATTTGTCAGAACTCTCCTGTGCTTTTTACTATACGTGAACTATACCTCCATTAAAGGATAAAAACAAAGAAGGAGGATAAGGCCAAAATATTAGCTGATTTGTAGATGAAAATACTGAGAACTTCTTTAAATATTGAAAATTCTGATGGTCTTTCATAAAGCTACGTGGCTGTTTATTGAATGGGGTCTACGGTCATTCTGCAAAGTTGCAGAAGACAGGAGACCACGATGGTTTTCCAACCCTTTCCTGGTTCAGTAATTATGAAAAACAGAAAAAACATCTCAGAGAATTTCAGACAACAATGCACTGAATCCCTTTTGGGGTCTTCCAGGCCATCGTGCAGCTGAAGTGTGTTTACTGGTGTTCTGAGAGTAGACGTTTCAAGTACGCTGCTTGATTCGTGCATGACTTTGACGTGTACTGTTGGTAAACTCCAGGAAATTGCTCATAATTTTTTAAATCTTTTGTTCCTTCTCCGAATGCTTTTTTATGACCTATAAAATGGAAGTTTTCTTGTCACATATCTTGCTGGAGCGGAACTTCTGGTGACAGGTTGGAATTCAGGCCTGAAGTGTGCGAAGGGCCCGAAGGGCCACTGATATCCTTGCACTAAGGCATTTGGGCCCTTTGAAAATGACTTTCCTTGGGGGAGGGTAGAGCTCAGTGGTAGAGCACATGCTTAGCGTGCACGAGGTCCTGAGTTCAGTCCCCAGTATCTCCTCTAAAAATAAATAAATAAATAAACCTAATTACCTACCCTTCCTAAAAAAACCCCAAAGTAAATAAATGCCACTCTTCAAAAAATAAAAAAAAATTTTAAATGATTTTCCTTCCCCCAATATACTTGGAACCAACCCTACTTAAATTGTTCAGTGTGCACGTTTTAGAAGTCTGGTATGAATGTGGAAGGTTATGATTTGGGTTGAAATACTGCTAAGGTCATAGGCCCAGGCAGAGAGGACCCAGAGGCCAACCCTGCATTTTAGATCCTGATGAGAAAACTGGGCTGGGAAGAGCCAGGAGAATGTTCTCGAAAAGGAAATGATGACAGTGATGGGAAATGGTAAGAAAGGGTCACGTGAAGCAGGAGCAGGAAGGCTTTAAAGATACAGTTGTCCCTGGGTATCTGGGGGAGCAGTTCCAGGACCCCCAGCATATGAAAATCCCAGATGCTCGAGTCCCTCATGTAGGTAAAGTGGTGTAGGACAGTCAACCCGCCGCTTCCCTGGGTTCCGCATCCGTGGATTCAACCAGCCCCGAATGGATCCAGGGGGCGGTCTGTGCGCCAGTGTTCCAAACTTCAGGGCTGTGTGACTTTTCTTCAGAAAGAACTAACTGCTACTTCTGTGATTTCCAAAAAAAAAAAAAAGGCCAAGGCCTATTTCACTCATAAGATGGATCCACATTAACAAAAATTTAGACCACTAATGAGGCTATGGAAAAACGGAATCAGCTGTAAAAAGATCATTTTAAGTAACCAGGACGTGTTTTAACCCACACATACCACATTTGGCCCGCACATGCATGCAAAAGTCCCCGTCGAATCAAATTTAATTTAGCAAGACTTTTATCCAACCAATTTAATTTAATGTGCACAAGAACAGAAATGAAATTGCGCAACGTAGGAAGAGTTTGAACAGAATTTGCTTTTTTCAATTCAATGTCTATTGAAAAGGCACCAGTTCTTCAAGTCATTAAGAGTCAATTTATCCAAATGGCAAGGACCAAGACAAATTGTATGACTTCTCCAATCAAGTGATTTGGGGCACATGAGTCTCCTAGGGCCGATGTTCTTGAAATGTGCCTGTGTGAAAATACATGTAGCTACAGGGCAAGGGGTGTTAGGAAAATGTAGCATATATGTAGTCAGATTTCAGTTATTCATGAGAATGAGAGTAAAATGTCACTACCTGAAGTCCAATCTATTGATATTTTTCCCACTGACTTTTAAAATCAGCAACCTGGGCCTTTTCAGCCACTAAACTGCTTCCAAGGGCTGTGAACAAGTGGGAAACATCCTGATTTGATATTTTCCTTCTCCTTCTCACAACTCTTTTTCCGGTTGGTACAACTGGGCTCGTCACAACTAAAAAACTGGGAGAGAGGAAAATAACAAGCACCTTAATGTGCACGTTACGATTCTTCTCCTTTTCCAGACAGGGAAACTGAGGGTGGAAGGAACAGTGCCCGAGGAGGTGGCTGTCACCGTGGCAGGGCTGGGCTTGAACACACATCTTTCTGTCTAGAATAAGAAGAGAAGCAATGGATTGAAACTAAACATTATATTACACTGGATGGAGAGGAGAAATAGCCAAATTTGTAGAGAGAGTAGACTACTATTTTGGGCCTGTGCATAGCAAAAAAAATCTTAAATAACGGTGACAAACACACAAACATTTATTTTTCTGTCCAGGACAGTTGTGGGGGAGATGAGTGGTGGTTCTGTTATCATCAGGAACTCAGGTACCTTCTATCTTTCTGTATTTTTACTCTTAAACGTATATTTTATCCTCAAGGTTACCTCCTGGGTCAAGATGGCTGCTGGAGCACTAGCCCTCACACATTAATTCTCAGCAGCAGGAAAGCTGAAAAGAGGGGGACAAAAGGCACCCATTACCAGCTGTTTTTCCTGTCTAGGAGGCCTTAACATGAATTCCCATCTCACAGCTTCTACCTACAATCGCATCTACCAACTCCTGGTTGCAAAAGAATCTGGAAAATGTAGCTGGATACTTTACACTCCAGAAGTAAAGTAACATTTGATTATAAAAGAATATCATGGCAGCATCTAGCAGATGGGTCACAATTAGGCAGCTATTAAAGGCTTTTCAATTTTGGAGAGGCATGATCAGGGTGGCGCTTTACAGGAACAAGTCTTGTAGGCAACAGCATGATGGGAAGCAGGTTTGAGGATGCCAATTTGTGGTGCTGAGCTTTGTATTACTGAGGTGGCATCAGGGACAGGAGAGAAGAGATCCGTGTGGCAGAATTTGTGAAGACTGCATTGACCAAGGAGAATGTATTCATTAATTAGCTGTGCAACTCAAAACTATGTTTCAGCAAACACACACACATGTGTACGTTTGTGGAGTGAGTGCATGTGTATAAAATACATTATATGTACATATATATATTCATATACACATATACATGTATATATTCATATATATACATGCACTTATATATGAATGGCAACCCAAGAAAGACATTCAGCTAATCTTCTAGCAAACAGAATCTAGATAAACAAAAACAGTTTCGTAGTGTTCTTCCATGCAGAAAATTGGCTGGAAATTTAATGATGCAGTCTATTGACAATAGATAAATAATACAGAAGTAAACACACGTATGCATACACACAACACAAACAACATGAAACTTTTCTAAGGCCCCATACTGCCAATTGCAAGGATTTTCAAATTTTGGCATCCCTAAACAAAAGAAAAAGGGAGAGTAAAAAGGGGCTACATTATAGGTTTTTATGGGAAATAAGAG